CAGATATTAGCTTGTGGAGCATACATACAGAGTGTAGCACTCTGCTGAATCATGCTACAATAAAACACAAACTATTAAATATTACTTTGTCCTGTGATTGATATTTAGACCTACAGAGTGTAAAATAATATTATAAATGTGAGCATTTTTAGGTTTCTGTTAGAGGAACCTGACCTCTTGATAAGATGGTTAGCTAATAGAGACATAGAGTTTCATCCTATAACAGGTATACAGAGAAGATTTTCTAACTGTTGACTGATAAATATTCATTATTATCATTATTTATGACAGTAAGAAACAATAACTATACTTTATCATTAGTCAACTAGCTAAAGTCTAAGTTACAGGCTGACCTCAGGTCTGGTTTAGATCATTATTTATAAATTATATATTTATCTGGTATAAATCTGCTGTTTTACATGAATGTTGAATGAAATTAACATGGTTAATAATTTTTTGTAAAAACATGACAGATAATTTGTGAAAAAGATCCAGTTCGGCTTGGTATTTATCTATCAGTTTCTGTGGTGACTGTGAGCTGTTGTCCTGTTTGGTCTGTTTCTGCTCCTCCATGCTGTCACAGAGGCTACCAGTGGACAGGATAGGTGGGGCTCAGTCTAGTGTTCTTATTTAAGTCTATGGTGACAGCCCATAACAAAAATGCACAAATAGTAATGAGTCAGGTTTGAATTTGAATCWGTAGCTACATTTTAAATCCAATGATTGCAAGAATGTTAATAAATAAATTGAACAATAATCTGGCTATTTAGTGATATTTTCACAGTTGTGGTCTTGAAATAAAATTCTGAGTCCTCAATGTTCGAGACAAGAACGAGTACAAATGCTGTCGAGTCTGAGACAAGACCAAGACCAACAAAAAGTGGTCGTGAGACCGGTCTCAAGTACTACAACACAATACATGTATGTGATTGACTATTTTACTCTAATATTTGAGGTCARTTCATAGAAAACTGATGGGTGCAGGCTGGAGTCACAGACCAACGAGTCACGTGGATCTGTTTAGTCCCTCAGCTACCTGGACCTGATGAGAYGTGACACCTGCTGCTCTCCTCCCAAGAGTTGTTTAATCTGCTGACATCAACATCAGCTTCCCTTCTAGTGTTTTTTTTTTAACTTCAGGAGTTTGTTTAATCCAGCACAACTTCCTCAATCGGCCTGAATCTGTGGTTGTGTTGTGTTTTTGAATCTGGACAGATGACACAAACAGGCTGCTGACGATTAACAGCTGGAGTTTTGTAGCTGCAGAGATTCTCCAACTCTGCTTTGTTTCCTCTCCAGTAAGAAGGTCTCACACAGGGTTTTAATGCCAAGTTGCAGGGTGGATGGATCACTCCACAGAGAGAACTCCTGACAAAGTGGGCACGTGCGTACTTGTTTCTCTGACCACCATCTCTGCAGACATTTTTTACAAAAGCTGTGGCTGCAGGACAGGAGGACTGGGTTGTCCAARATGTCTTGGACCAGGAAAGATCTTTTTGTGATTGACAAGATATTGGAACTCATAAAACTGTCCTTCAAACTTACTTTTAGTTTGATCCTTTGCCTTCTAAATTCTCCCGTTCAACGTTTGGATCATCAGGGTGCAGTGAATTCCAATGTCAGTATTTTCTGCTCAAAATGGTGAATAGATGAAGAAACAACACAAAGGTCACGACTCATTACGTCCTGAGTTAAAGAAGAGGAACCTGTTTGACACAGCTTCAGAGTCAATWTAGAGCAAAGATCTACTGATTTTATCATTTTAGATTCATGAACTAATGCATTAACGTTAAACTGAAATCTAGGGAGGTGTAGATATGATGACAGAGAAGTATCATGAGCTTAGCTGCTTTTTGAAACTAACCAGAGCCCCATGAGGACTAAGGTTCACCCTCCTCCCTGGATATTATAACTCCTGCAAAGCTCACTTATTTTTATGGAAACACTGACAAACATTCAGACTTTACATAAAACTGAGAGTCAAGACAAAACTCGAAGTACTGACTTTCCATGTATTTCACAATTAAACCAGGTTTTCCCGTGACTCTTTTCAGCACTCTAAAGCCTGTTTTAAAACATTATGCCAGACATGATGAGATGTGACGCCTGCTGCTCTCCTCCCAAGTAGGGCTGCCACAAACGATTATTTTTATTATCGATTAATCACCGATTATTTTTTCGAATGGTCAACTAATCGGATCATAYGTTATTTGAATATAAACATACAGCTTATTGCACCAGAATGCAGCTGCTATTATATAACAATGGTTAGATTTTAGCTATATGCTAACTAAAAATAATTGCTGTGGAAGGCAAGTTCTGCCTTACAGATATTGCACAGGTTTCTCTTTCATTTTCTTAAAATGATCCCACACTTTTGAGCTCCGTTGTTGGGTAGCCATGATACCAGAGCCTGTCTGTATAATGTCTTGTGACGTCCACGGCCTACCCCAGTTACYACTACTGTGCATGTGTGTCAAGGACAGAAAGGYAGATGTGGCAGTGGAAGGTGTCAAAGCAGTTTGGAGAAAAAAACAAAGTAAAGAACAAAAATAAAGAAAATGATTGATTATTAAATTAGTCATCGATTATTTTAATAATCGATTGGTGGTCGATTAATCGTGGCAGCCCTACTCCCAAGTGTTTGATCTGCTGACATTTAAGAGAAGAGACTGCTTTTTCACATCACCTTGTACTCATTTACTTCAACTAACTTTATTAATCATAAAACAATAAAAAATAAATGTTATGTTCTGTAACCTGGTAAACATTTTATTCATAACACATCAAATAAAATAAGAATAACATGAAATGTAACTTTTATATGCTTTGTATTAAGGTTCAATTCAGATGTTTCCATTTTTACGTTTTTTTTTTATACTTTACAAAACAAAACATATTGATGTGAACAAAATGAAAACTTAAAATTGTTACAAACTACAGTCAAAGTTTGTTTCTCCACCCGAAGGTGCGGAGAAGCCACCCTTTCATCCACTGGGGAAAACTCCACACAGGCACAAAGTCAGTGAGCCAAAAGCAGACCAACACCAGCTTGGCGCTTCTCATCATGAGCAACCCCACAGCAGAATAAAGTCCAGCCCCTCTTGAGGAGATCAGTTCTGGAGCCCATGCAGCGGGCAGCTATGTGAGTGCCCGGGGAGCAGTTGGGGGTTGGGTGTCTTGCTCAAGGACACCACGACATGTGGGCATGGCGGGGAGTCAAACCTGTGACTTTCGGGTCCCAAACCGGCTGCTCTACCACTACACYACAGCCGCCTCAGAGGGGGAAATTATGATAATTTATGACCTGCACCTTCACCACCAACCCACTGTCTCATGTCGTATTGAAGCTCACAGTTTAAATTCATGCTCATATTTTGAAATAAACATGGCTTCCTGTTCGTCCTGTGGCCTACCCATAATGCATCGCTTCAGTTTTACAATAAAYCGTTTAAAATTACTTATATATCTGCATGTTTTCTTACCGAAGCCTTAACATAATCATAAAAATTACCAAGAAGCAGCAGAACTAGCAACTACCATGACTTAAAAGACTATTTGAATTGATCACCTCCCCATACTGAGGCGACATGTGCCAATCTGTAAAAGAAAATTATCCTTCCACTGCTTCTGACATTTCTCTTGGTTATCACTGGAATGTTTTCTGGTGAATGGAGACAGACTTGTGCTTTACATTTAGCTTCTACATAGTTTTATTGAGCATATGTACCTTTGAACTTGCAGAATCAGACCTAAATAAGTTGAATAGCACTTTAGCAATTGCGCAACTAAATTTTGAATTAGCTGTTCATTCCTTTCTTAAGCCCAACCCCCCGGGTTCCTATTTAATTATTACTAGAAGTTATTTCAGTTAAACAGACATGTTTGGTGTCTACAGAAACATCAGATTCTTGGCCAGAAGCTGGTAAAATCATTTCTATAAACATCCAAGACAGTTAAAATTGCAAGTAGTTRAATATAAAACTATAAAAGTGAAAATAAAGTTGGTTTTAAAAAWTAGGCAAGTCAGAGATGTCAAAATATTTGTGTTAAACAGGAGGTATAAYGTGTGATTTGTGAWATTGTTTTATCACTACATTTATTACATAGGGTTCTGTACATTGTAATCATGATTAAAAGCAGCAAAATAAACTATTTCAAAAGGTAACAGATCTTTGTAATACTAAATTTATTTACATAAGTAACTGCTGGATGTTTGGCCCCTGTTCTGTTGGCCTGCATTAACTGTGGCCCCCCAGAGCAATTGAGTTGAATAGCCCTGTCCTAGGACCATTCAGGCGCACAAACTCCTCGACCCCAATAAGGTGATGACTCAACAGACACTAGTTCATTCGTCAGGTTAGATGTAAGGTCTCAAATTGTACTATACCAACCGATTGACCAGAATGTTGAAGGCTAAATGGCCATATAAAAAAACATAAAATAAATATTTTACCTACCCAAACCTATCTGCCCGAATTTGCAGTTTCTATTGTGTGTGGACTCTTTTGTGAGAGTTTAAACTACTCTTTTGACTAAATTCATGTCCACAATCCTTACATTTAAACGGTTTCTGCCCTGTGTGAACTCTCATGTGTTGATTTAAATTACCCTTCTGGCTAAATTTATGTCCACAGACCTCACATACAAACGGTTTCTGTCCTGTGTGGACTCTCATGTGTTTGTTTAAACTACTCTTACAGCTAAATCTATGTCCACAGTCCTCACATACAAACGGTTTCTGTCCTGTGTGGACTCTCATGTGTTGATTTAAACTAGTCTTGTGGGTAAATCTACGTCCACAGTCCTTACACACAAATGATTTCTGTCCTGTGTGGACTCTTTTGTGTGAATTTAAACTACTCTTTAGACTAAATTTATTTCCACAATCTTTACATTTAAACGGTTTCTGTCCTGTGTGGACTCTCATGTGTTGATTTAAATTACCCTTCTGGCTAAATCTATGTCCACAGACCTCACATACAAATGGTTTCTGTCCAGTGTGGATTCTCAAGTGCAAGATTAAATTACCCTTCTGGCTAAATCTATGTCCACAGATCTCACATGCAAACAGTTTCTGCCCTGTGTGGATTCTCGAGTGTAAGATTAAATTAGCCTTCCGGCTAAATCTACGCCCACAGTCCTTACATACAAACGGTTTGTGTCTTGTGTGGATGCTCATGTGCAAGTTTAAACGAGTCTTGTGGCTAAATTTATGTTCACAGAATTGACATACAAACAGTTTCTGTCCTGTGTGAACTCTCATGTGTTGATTTAAATTAGTCTTCTGGCTAAATTTATGTCCACAGACCTCACATACAAACGGTTTCTGTCCTGTGTGGACTTTGATATGTGAGATTAAAATATCTTTCCGGCTAAATCTATGACCACAGTCCTTACATACAAATGGTTTCTGTCCCGTGTGGACGCTCATGTGTTTGACTAAATTACTCTTGCGGCTAAATCTATGTCCACAATCCTTGCATTCAAATGGTTTCTGTCCTGTGTGGACACTCATGTGTGATTTTAAACTACTCTTTTTGGTAAATCTATGTCCACAATCCTTGCATTCAAATGGTTTCTGTCCTGTGTGGACACTCATGTGTGATTTTAAACTACTCTTTTTGGTAAATCTATGTCCACAATCCTTGCATTCCAATGGTTTCTGTCCTGTGTGGACATTCATGTGGGATTTTAAACTACTCTTTTCGGTAAATCTATGTCCACAATCCTCACATTCAAATGGTTTCTGTCCTGTGTGGA